TTATGAAAATTCTGAGATCATATTGAAATTTACGACCAAATTTCACCCAAAAGTCAGTGTGGGCCCATAAATATTACACATTGTTAGAGGTTTTTTTGGGTTATATATGTGTGTGTTTGTTCTCTTTAAGAAACTGAGGTAAATTAAATTAAAATAATTTTGGGGAGACTCAATTTAAAACTTGAAGTTAACAGGAAACCGAGAGGCAGTTGTGCGACAACAAAGCATACGGGGCGAATGGAGGGACACTAATCTGCATGGCTCCCGAAAAGGGGTGTTGAAAGGAATTACGCCAAGAAAAAATTGTTCTAAAATCTTAAGAAAAGAACATAATTATTAAAAAATCATAATAACAATAGAGGAATATATAATAACCAGTTTTAATACAGGAAATAATAATTTCTGATTTGTCATTATGAATATTTGATAATTATTTTTTCTCATGACACTTAATTATAATTCTCCCTTGCATCAAAGCGAGTTTTAATATGGAACAATGACGTGATGCTGATATAACACTAGAAAAGCAATGACTTGTAGTATTATATGTTTATCTCTTTGGTGAAAGCAAGTGATTCGTGTTGTATTATTATTGAATTCAAATTTAATAATCGATAGGTCAAACAAAATGTCTAAAATCTACATCACATGTTTATCAATTTTTTTTGAATTAATCATATTGATGTTCCCTCAATAATAATCAAATATAAGAGCAGAGAAAATTAAAAAAGTTAATTAGGGTGTTTCAAAAAGAATATATCATATTAACTAATCTAATTTAATGTTAACTAAATTTTTTTAACAAGAAAATTTAGATAAGTTAAATCTTGAGAGTACACCAAAGATAGGACATACTTCCAAATTCAAAAAGCGCTCACAAAAACATTACCAGCAAGGTTCTTACGTCTTCGGGGGATTTAAACTTATAACCTTATGAGTTATAAGCTGACTCATTATCAATTAAACCAACTTATTCTTGATTTTAATTGACTTCTTGCTCTCGACGTGGCTTTTCTACTTCTCAATCTGATGCCAAGCATATAGCCTTAAACTTGGATCTTATCAACGTAAGAGTAAAAAGCCTCACAAGATAGCCCAATGAATAACCAAAAACAAGAGAGTTACACCAACAGGAGTTGGATCAAGTGGTAAGCAGCTTGATACCGCTTAAGTGAAATTTTGAGTTCGAGCCTTAGCGTATGCAGAAATTCCTGTTGGGAGACTCACCCACCACAGCCAGGTGGGTGAGTTTGTTTAATTTTTATTTTTATTCTAAATATAAGATCTCAATCTATTTTGTCTCTTATATTTATCTTTTCTTTTTCAAGTTAGTCCTTGTAATAATAATAGGTCTAGCCAATATATTTGATCAACAATGATATTTTAAGAAAAATAACATCTATTTATTACAAATAACTAACATAACTAATTTTTTTAATCTATTCAAATTAGTCAACCAACTCTTATATTAAAAACAGGAGGTAGTATTAGTAAATTCCATCAATGCATAACCTATATTTTTAATTAACGCACCACCATCAATTTTATCTTCAAACTTCAAAAAATATGTATCCATGTTTATGAAAATTCTGAGATCATATTGAAATTTAAGACAAAATTTCATCCAAAAGTCAGCATGGGCCCATAAATATTACACATTGTTAGAGGTTTTTTTGTTATGTATATATGTGTGTTTTCTTTTTAATAAACTGAAATAAATTAAATTAAAATAATTTTGGGGAGAATCAATTTAAAGCTTGAGGTTAACAGGAAAAGGCAAGTTGTGCGACATTGAAGCATACCGGGGCGAATGCAGGGACACTAATCTACATGGCTCCCGAAAAGAGTTGTTTAAAGGAATTACACCAGGGAAAAATTATTCTTAAATCTTAAGAAAATAATATAATTACTAAAAATTTTTTAATAACAATAAAGTAACATATAATAACAAGTTTTAATACAGAAAATGATAGCTTTTCACTTATTATTAGGATTTTTTGGTGGTTATTTTCTTTTCATGACGCTTAATTGTAATTTTACCTTAGATCAAAACACGTGAGTCTTAATGTGGAACAATGACATGATGCTGGTATGATGCTAAAAAAGCAATAACTCGTAGTATTTTACATTTATGTTTTCGGTGTAATTTAATGATTTTAAAACCGGACAGTCAGACTGGTCTGGCCGGTGATCGGAGGACCCTTCGGCTCGTCTTGTGTGGTTCAGCCGTTTAGCTAGTTCAGTCGTCTTGGGCCGCTTCAAGCTGGCTGTTAGGCTGGTAGCCGGAGTTGACCCAGAAGCCGCAGCAATTTTTCAAAAACCAAACGGCCAAATTATATCACACAAAATGCTGAAGAAAAATCGAAGTCCATCCCCAAAAAGCCCCCCTCAATCCCCAGTCTGTGTCATTGTCTCTTGTTCACTATTTAGTCTAGCCTTTCTTGCTCTCGACGTTCGACAGAAAGTGAGAAACTGAGAATTCAGAAGCTGCGTTCCCCCATTTCAACAGTCGCTCTCTCACTCGACTGTGAATGTGAATACACAATACGTTGCTGCTGCAATTTCAACCTTCCATCGCTTACTCATGCAGACGTAGTACGCCGTCGAAATTACTACCTCATGCTTCAAGCCTTGTCGTGCGACTCCTCCATTGTTCTCTGCTTTCAAGATAATGAGTAATGAGTTTTAGACTTGCAAGTAAGGTGAAGGGTGAACTATGAATATGAAGGATCGAGTATTAACGTAGAAAGAGAAAGTTAGTGATATTATATATATATATATATATATTTTGCCTTTGGTGGGTTGCACTGAATTGTGAACCGAGAGGGACCACCCATTAACATTTCTGCTATTAATTTAAAAAGAAGACCAACGGTGAATTGAGGGTGAGGTACCATCATAGTTTTTCTCTAATTTTATATTTATTTTTAATATTTATATAATTATATAAGTGTATAATATTATTTTTTATTTAATTATTATGTTACCGGTCCGATCATCAGTCTAACTAGTCTGACTGTATGAACCACAACCCATTAATCTTTTCAGTTATATATCTGATTCGGTTTTTAAAACATTGGATGTAAGCAAATGACTCGTATTGTATTATTATTGTATTCAAATTTGATCATTGATGGGTCAAACACAGTGGTATAACCAAAGTTCTTTTCTCAATTCCACTAGCCAAATCCAAAATGGAGGCCATTCACGCTCAGCCTGATCACATGATGAACACTCAATGTAAATCTGATCACGTGTGCGTCCAATTGCCGCCCCCCTTCCGCTAATCTGGCATGTGCACAGTGGAACCACGCCCCATGCTATTTAATACTACGTACTGCCGCCGGGTCCATTGATAGGGACTCGTTCATACTTATTTGGGCTAATAAAAATAATTATTGTTTTAACTGGTCTTTGCAAATTAAAATTGCGATAAAAATCAATTAGTATATAATTTATGTTCTGATATATTTTAATAAAAAATAGACAAAAATTTATTTGAATATTATATTAAAAAGTCAGTTTCTGGTGATTTAAATTTAGAAAAAAAAGTCAAAATTGAGAAGTTCGAAAAAAGCAGAATCCTAAAAAATAGTTTTGAATTCCAAAATTTCAAATTAATATTGTTCACTACACTTTAATAATAATTGACAATATTTGAAAAGCAAATGATAACATATTTTTGTAATCGTTGCTGATTTAAGATTTTGAAATCTACAGTTTTTTTTTGTTGAGATTTTTCAAAGAAAAAACTGTTTGAACCTCAAAATAGCTTTTTGGGGAAAAAAATCATTTACCTTTAGAATCACACCAAATACTACCTCTAGTCCTTAATATAAAAGTTAGTTAACTAATGTGAGTAAGTTAGAAAAATTAGTTAAGTTAGTTATTTATAATACTCCTCCGGTCCTAAATATAAGACTCTTTTTGTAGTGTAAATTACACTACACAAATGGTTTTATATTTAGGATCGGAAGGAGTAAATATGTGATCTTTCTTAAAATACTATCGCTAGTCAAGTGCATTAATAGAACTACTAGATGAGAACCACCTTAAAAAATTAATAAATATGAAAAATAAAATATATTGAGGTCTTCTATTTAAAATCAAATTAAAACTCAAACTAATTTTTATATTAACTACCGGAAGTAGTGTCAATTTGGACTTAAATTTGCCTTTCGAATTGAAAAGGTGAGTTTTAGCATTGAAAAGACCATGCCAAGTATAGTCTTTAAATGCTGGTAGAAAATTAAGATGAGGATAAATATAATGACAATTCTTCATTTTTATAAGATGCATGCCACTATCAAATTTAATGTAACTTTCAGAATTTTTATTCACACGAACTTCAAATTTAATGGTGCTTAGATTTTAATTAAAAAAAATTCTTGAAATTTAAAATTCTAAATAAGAATTACTACAAAAATATGTTGCCATTTATTTTTTTAAATGTAGTTAATTATTATTAAGGCATAATAAATAAGATTGATTTAGAATTTTAAAATTCAAGAGATATTATTTTGGGATTTTTCCTTTAATTAACTAGATATGATTTTTTCTTTATTTTCTTGGTGCGTTGTGTATCTCTTTATTTTATCACTATTTTTAATTATATTTTTATTCTATATATATATTTTAATTTTCAACTTAAAATCTTGTTTCAACTTAGTATATTTTTGGGTGAAAAAGATGTTGCTAGGTTGTTATTTATCAACGGCACCATTACACAGAAAATAATATACGAGTACTAATTATTGAAATAAATGAAAAAAGAAAAATGCTGTAGTAGAGGAAGAGTAAAATGCACCTCACCAACCAAAGCTGCTAGTTTCGCGTCGTAGAATCTTAGTTGGGAACTCGGGAAGAAAAAGGCGGGAGCCTTTGCGGTAAAAACTGAAAACAAGGCTTTTTTCCACTTACTTTCCACTTAAACCCCCGTTTCATACCGACCTCGCGCATATATCATTCTTTTCTCTCTCTTTCACTTAACTGCTTGGACTGTCTGGTAGACTCGTCCCTCGCTCTCAGAGGAGTAGCTCTGTTCGTTCATTGTCATTGTCTTCGTCTTCTGGGCGGAGAAATGAGGATTGTGCCGCTTGCCTCACCCTTCATGGAGATTGGAGTTCTCCTCTCCGACTGGTGGGACGAGATCAACGACTCTTCTGGATGGCAGGACGCCATTTTCTACTTCCTCTGTGCTGCTTATGCTCTCGTTTCCTCCGTAGCTCTGGTTCCTGACGCACTCTCTCTCTCTCTCTCTACTGCTGTATATTTGTGCTTGAGTCGCCATGATTCTGGATTTTCCTTAGCTGTTCTTGTGATTGTTGATTGGTTTTGAGCTCGAGTTGTAATCTTCTGAATAGGAATTTCAGAGTGTTAGATGTTTTCGTTCGTTTTGTTTTTGTTTAGCTAAGCTATCTGGAGCGGTAGGTTTGCATCTACGTTCTTTATTGATTAATGTACTTGTCTATCGACCTTCATTGAAGATTTCAAGCTGAATTTCAACTTGATTTCTACTGTAGTTGTTTGAAAGTCTTGCATTCTTTTGTAAACATTACTTTAATCAGTTGCTTTAAGCCTTGCTAAATAACGTATGAATGTGCTGAACTTAGACAACTACAAGTATGGTTCCTTGTAGCCCGGGTTTCGTTTTTTATCTATCCATCCAGAACTGTGCCTTCGTCCTTGATTCTGGATTTTTCATGCAATTCTCACAATTGCTGGTTGATTTTGAAATGATTGCTTGAGAAGTACTAGTATGACTAGAATTTCATTATGTTTTTCTTAACTCTTTTTTCCCTATCTAGCTTAAGCTAAGGAGAATAGTAGGTTCGTGTCGACACTCTGATTGATATGTGTCTAGGGACAGTAATAGATGATTTCGAAGCTTTATCAACTTGCTTGTTCATTTTTTGAATTTCAGTCTGCAGTGTCCCGTGATTACTTGATTCCAGTTTATACTTCTCCGAAAATTTATTGTTCAATTAATTGTTTATGCTGTATATGAAGGATAAGTGTGCTGGACTTGACTGTGACCGTTGTTTTTCACGCTAGACCAGTTGCCCCTTTGCCTTTCTTTTATGGGGCAACGGGATTAAAAACTTATGCTGTCTTGGTGGTTTTAATACGATGCAGATTCAATTGATAAGAATTGAATTAAGAGTGCCTGAATATGGTTGGACAACACAAAAGATTTTTCATTTGATGAACTTCATTGTCAATGGAGGTGAGGTGTCGTTTAGAGTCTTGGTCCTTGAAGAATCTCTGATATTATGTGTTTGTTTGGGCGTTTTACTCCTGTCTTGTCATTTTCATATTGCAGTACGCGCCGTTGTGTTTGGATTTCACCATCAAGTTTTTCTGTTGCATCCGAAGGTTGGCTTTGCATCTATGACGTTCTTATAGTTGCTAATTTGATACAGAACTCTGACTAAGATGGTAAAGCTTGAGCGCTCACAGAGTGGTTGCATTTTGTATCAGGTATTGGTTTTTGTGCTATTGGATCTGCCCGGACTGCTGTTTTTTTCAACATATACTCTTCTTGTCCTTTTCTGGGCAGAAATTTATCACCAGGCAAGTCAGTTGTTTTTTTTAAATCCTACTGTTGTTGATTACGACTTTTGCTATCATCAACAAGAGCCTCACTTTTGTTAATAATCTAAATCCCCCTCTAAAAGCTACTATTACATATATTGGCGTGTCCACAGAAAGTTGTTTTCCGGTTCATCCTTCTTAGGATTGGGAAATTCTAATTTTTTTATACAACACATAATCAGGCAAGGAGTTTACCAACTGATAGGCTCAGGATATTTTATATCGCAATAAATGGCGCCATATATTTTATCCAGGTAATTATCTCATATTCTTTCACTCTTCACACAAAGTTATTGTCTAGAGTCTGTAGCCATGAGCTCGATATATCACTATTCTTGGTGTGTTTCATTTTCTTCATGTTCACCTCAATACTTTTTTGTCAACAATAATGACTTCCCCACTGCAACATAGGATCCATATTCCATACTACTAAACAGTTCCAAGACAAGACATTTCCTGGTGCCCGAAAGTTTCTTGAAATATGATTATAAGGGAATTAGGGGGAATATGTATGTCTTACATGTGTGCCTTATGTTCAACTATGTTTATTGCATTTTGAAGTATTTGGCATTTTAGCAGCCTACTGTGTTTTGGGTGGTAATATGTCTTACTGGTTTTTAGTTCCTGCTTGATTCATGTCAAGCTAGGCATGAATCTCTGTATTGTTGGTGGGGCAGAGAGGAACATGCTCTTTGATCTGTAACATGGGAAATAATTGTAATAACCATTTCCTGTTATTCAGATTTGTGTTTGGATATACCTCTGGATAGACGAAAATAGAGTGGTGGAAATTGTTGGAAAGATATTTATTGCAGGTAAGCTTTCTTCTATTAATTCAACTACAGTTTTGTGTTTTCTTCTGATTCGCAAGCTTGAGAATGAGTTTTCCTCCCTTGAAATGATCTTGGCAATAACATAGACCTTTCTAATGGGGTTTGCTTTTCTTGTGCTCAGTTGTATCATTTATGGCTGCATTAGGCTTCTTGCTCTATGGTGGAAGGTGAGGCTTCACTTTGGCTGAAATGTTATGGACTATGAAGTAGTTTTGATGTCTCATCAATTCCATTAACTAACTCATCCTTCGTCGTTATTGTGGGCGGACTTTCCAATATCTGCCTGTTATATGTTAATTGTTTATAGATTATTTTTCATGCTGAAGCGCTTTCCTATTGAATCTAAAGGGAGAAGGAAGAAGCTTCATGAGGTATGTGCACTTCTTTCTAAGTACATCTGATAGAAGTTGTTGAGAAAAATTAAAAAAAAAAAAAAGAATTGATCGTCTAAATGCCCGTATTTTTCTTTGTCTGCCAAAGGCTAGTGCATAGTATTTCATGCGGCCATATAGGAAATGAAATGAAAAGTAATTCAAGCTACTAGCAATTCCCCCACCCCTTTTTTCATATGGTTATCAGAACTGTCAGTTTCTTGGTTTAACTATACACTGACTTACGGTTTTGCTGTCACGTCATAAATTAATTTTAATTTAGTCCCAAGTTCCAGGTGACAAAAATCAGGTCCACGACTTGTTTAAAACTAGTTTTTATCCTGTATTTGGCTGCTGACCTGCCTTAGCATTCCTATCGCAGCCACACTCTGCTTCTCTCTTACCACCATTATTGGAAAGAAAACTTTCTCAATTTGAGTTTAGAACCACACGCACAGAAGAAAATAGGGCATATTGAACCTGCGTGATATTTGATTGCATGGCACGTGTGGATATGTGTGAAGTGGGCATGTATATTTTTGGTTATCAAAATACCTTGGGCGTTTCTTCTCCCTTTTTTAATAACTGAATGCTTGCTCCAAACACTCATGCAAGAGTCAGCAGTTTTAGCGGGGAGCACCTCACAATGTCATGTTCGCATTGGTTAGTTTCTTTCTTTACAAAAAGGATTTCAAATTTTGACAACTAAAGACCTTCAATTGTGCTCGCAAATATTAAAAGTAGTCATGAAAAAAAGCTAACAATGTATTTTCAGGGTTGTGCTCTTGATCTTCCTGTCTCATGATGATACTCTGTCACCAGTCATTTTTCTTCATTGACAGGTGTAGAGGACAAATAGCGTTAACTTTTACACTTTCTCTGTTGGTTTGTCTTTGCCTTGTTTGTGTCGTAGCTTTGCGTTTTGGACATTCAAATTATTTTCCTATAAAAGGCTTTCAAGCGAATTGATAGAAATGACTTGTATTGCATTGCCATGATCTTTATTTGTACTACAAATGTTATCATTTTTAACGGGCTTAATCTTGTTCTTATTCTTAAATAGAAAAAGAAATCCATTTTTATTTTTAGTTCAATATAAGATCATACGAGTCAAGTTCTATATCATCGTCCATTTCAACAGAAAAGGTCTCTAATGATACTTCTCTGGACCAGACATTAGGACCGGACTTGCATGATCCTTTTGATTTTCTTGTGTCCCCAACGTTGAACAAGAGAAATAGCGATAGAGATTGTAGATATCAATAATAGTGGTTTGATAAAACGCGGGCTTTGTGCTGCAGGTCGGATCTGTCACTGTCATATGTTTCACCTGCTTTTTGATCCGATGCATAATGGTAACTTCTGACTGTAACATTATAATGATCATATATATACATATACATATTTTGAGTTTGCTTCTGACTTATAAGAATCAAGGGAACATCTCAGAGTTTACTATGAGAACTGAAGTTGCTGGTTTAAAATTAGTGTCATGAAGTCCATTGTTCGTCTTCATATATTCTATTCTTATTATGTTTAAACCTTCAAGCACACTCTTCCATTGGTGATTCAAAACACTTCTGGCAATACGCATGCAGGTCTTTCTATCTGCATTTGATACAGATGCATCTCTAGACGTTTTGAATCATCCCATTCTGGACTTGATCTACTACCTGGTATTATTCTGCTAAGCACTCCTTTTTTGTTAATTACCACCGCCATTTTTTGTTGATATTGACATCTGGGAATTTATCTCTCACGTACAGCTGGTTGAGATCCTGCCTTCAGCTTTAGTCCTCTTCATCCTTCGCAAATTGCCCCCCAAGAGAATATCAGCCCAATATCACCCTATCCGTTAACCATATTGCATCCTGGATCTTATTCTATTCTTTTGCCATTTGGTTATGATTTTAATGATTCTCTAGCTCTGGTCCCAAAAAAAAAAAAGAGGTTCTGTGGTTAGATGCCGCTGAAGCTTCGCAGGAGAAGCAGATGCAGACAAACTGTCCAGCCAAAGTTCTATGGAAATATTGATACGTTGTGGGTGCAGTCTTCTGACATGTGTAATGTACAGCGATGCCGCTTGGAAATGATAGTTTTGGTTCATTTTGTTAGGCATTTCTTTTTTCTTCGAGGAGGGATTTTTTAACCGGGAGTAAGAAGGTAGGGTGGGGGACTTGGGGTGAAGGAAAATAGGTGTAGGTTGTTTTCAGAGTTATAATACCAAGTGGTAACCTGGAACTGGAAGTTAATGATGCATCCATTCTTTTCCCGTTTATGCTTGCATATAGTTACATTTATTGCTTGCTAAACTTACCGTAAATGGTACATGTATTAGAGTTAATAATGCCCGTGTGCATCAATGTATATCATGCTTCAACGAAGAGACAAATAACATTTACTAGTCTTGCTATCAAAGAGAATTTATTTTCAAATTAAAACCTTTTTTTAATTAAAAAAGGACATATTTCATCTATAGTTGATTTCTCTCTTTGAATCTTCCAATACATTAATCACTCATAATTCAACAGTTGAATGAACCAAAGAATCATGTTATATGGAGTAGTAAGATGTTGCATTGTTTTATGTCTACGTCTCACATAATGTGCACCTATATATTTGCGTTTTGCTCTTTTTGTTCTGTGAAATACTTTAAATTCTTCACCAACTTCGTACGTTCCGTGGAGAATGGAGATAATCTTCTCAAGCAGTAGAAAGCTGTTGAAACAACAATATCATCAATGGAATGAAAATTACCAGAAATCATTGAATAGAATATGACAAATAAGAATTGACAATCGGAGAAGGATAGATCACACATGATGGAAATAGATATACAAATTGAGCAGGCATATTATGTGTTCCCACATCACAGTTCAACTGTATTTTAAGCACATATAATTGCACCTTCACGCGCGCGCCCAAAAAGAATTCTTTTTCGGTGACCCCACACTTGTAGCCCAAAGGACATCGCCCTTCAAAGCTTACCTTTGTTCTTACCGCCCTTGATTCTGAAGAATGTTTGCGCGTAAAGCAACTAGGCAAAAACACGTATGCAAAGCGTAAATAAGCACGAGTCTCCTAGAAAACCAATGGACCCATACCCATGTAATGAAGCTTGGAATTTGATAGACCAGAGCTATAAAAGGATAATTAGCAAAATACAGGAAGGAGGAAAATCACTTTTTGTTCGTCAGAACGTTGACAGGGAGATTCCTACTATTTTGGAAGAATACGTAAAGAACTAGTACTGCTCTTAATTATAAGATCTCATTTATATTTATTACTTCGATTTTAATTATAAGATCTTGTTTGTAGTTTACAAATAAAATAATACTGTTATAGTCTTATAGGGTCGCTGAGTCAAGGACTATGCAGGGGTTAGGTGTGGGGGTTAGGTTGGGGACTGTGAGAATTGCTTTTAGGCATTTTACCCGTTGATTTCTCTAGGAACGTAGGTCTTCTTCCTTCTTTTTTTTTTTTTTTTTGTGTGAACAAAAGGGTTTAGGTAGATCTTCTTCTGTAAGTGCGACAAGGAGAGCTCTACCCTCTAGAATACCAGATTTGGGATGGAAGAACATCATTCATCATTTTATCTTTTTCAGGTCTTTTGTCTTAAGTGTTAGCTATGTGTGTGAACTTGATGCACGCTGACCCCCTTTGTTCATTAGGAGAGGCAATTTGAATCAGTCTGAAAGTGCAGTGTTGTTTTATATTGCTCCCTGGTTTGGGTTCTAACAGAACTTCAATGCAAAACATAGAAATCTCAACGGGCGGAAAAAAAAAACACCCCCCCCCCCCCCCCCCGGGCTACGAACCTCCATGGTAAGCTTGGGGAGAGGCATCCCCCCTTAACTTAGTGGAGGAAACTTCTCTTGACAAGACACCTTGGCGCAAAAATGCACCATCTTCTAAATTAGGAGCTTTTTTTTTTTTTTTGTGGTAAAGAGACAACATATATTAATACGTCTACCACATAACGTAGCCCAATCCCACAAAAGGTGGTAAGGAAAACAGCCTAAATAAACACTCCAGAGTAAGAACACCCAACATGAAAAAGACTCTGCGGCTTCAGATGAAAATCAATGGAGGACAATCCTTAAATTAAAGCCACTAGAGAGCCGTCTTTTAACTAGGAGCCTTTTCTTCATGATTAACTTATTATTAAATTATTGTGACCTTTTTTTCCCCTTAATCAATGTAAATCAATTGATATAAAATATAAACCATCGACTACACACCTTAACTCGTAATAATAATTAACAAAAACGTTAAAAAGTGGGGGGAACAAAGAAATTGCCGACATCTATATTTTACAAGATAAACCAATTCTCTGTTCAATTGCTATTTCCACAGCTAAATTACCGTCAGCTCCCCATTGGTTGGGCTTTTTCAGAAGCCTATTCAATCGCGGTGCATTTCTTCTGCAGCTGGGGGAGCAAATCTGACGTTAGCTGGCCGTGCCACAACAACATTCTCATCTGCGAATAATGCTTTGATGAATGCTGGGGTTTTAAGAGGCCGGCGACCAGTCATCCGAGGATAGACATCTTCAAGAAAATAATACGCATGGCCAGCAATCATTCCCTGAAATGTGATTTCATGGTCGTCATTAGATATTTCAGTTTCACAATAATTTTTCCTTCAGTTTCAAGTTCTGCTACTAAAATTGATAAACTTTGTTATAACAATCAATCGTATATTGAGTTGTAAGAAATATTCTCATGCCATATTTCTAGGAGAGAAGTGTGTGTACGTGTGAAGTATCACTATGATAGTAGTTTCAGAGATTAGTAAACACACCAGTAAATCCACCCAGGCACTAGCACCAACAAGGACAGAAAATCCCAAGAGAACCTGTAAAAAATTTTAAGGACAGGTTGCCTCAATAATGAAACAGTTGGTTTAAGCATAAAGCATTAATCATATAAACATGTTCAACAATATAACAACAGCAGAGTTTACACACCCAAGGAAGGTAAGCAGCTGTGAAAGTAAAGAGGCCAAGGAAACTCATATGAATAAAGGGATTTTGTTTGCTCCAGACGTAAACCTGAAAATTAAGAGAAGTTAAAATTTTCAAACATTAGAAGGGTTAACATGAAGTCTCAACTACAAAAATATAAGGAAATGTTGCTGACCATCATGAATGTCAATGAGTTGCTCAGGAATATAATCTTTGCAAATGAGGCTGCCAAATAAGGTATCATCCCACCAACAAGAACAATTCCAGTCAACACAGTGGCGCCAAATAAGAGCATATAAAGGAAATCGGCAGTTCGCCCCCTGAATGAGTTCTCCTCTAGAAGCTTGCAGTATCGAGCAAGAAAAAACATATGAAACAAGAAATCCAAGTCTGCCATTCAAATGAAGATACACCAGGTCAAGCATGATAAGATGTGATATCTAAAATATATAGTCTAACTATCAAATAATATGAAGCATATATAAGTCAATAATATGACGGCTTTACCAGTATTACGCTCCTTAAAAGTGCACATCATACATAAGCAAAATAAACAAGCGTAAGAATTTTGCTATGATCAGTTCAATGAAATAAAACAGAGTAACTCTTATTTAACTAGAAGGATTCAAGGCAAACGGGCTGGGTGTCATGTCGTACAGGAAAGTCAGGGATATGTCATGAAGTCAAGTTAGAAGCTAGAATTGATAATCAGCATCCGCGATATTTACATAGCAAAATTTGTCTGACTCTTCAACTACAACTTCATTTAGCTTGAAATTGTGCTACACCCAAAAAGGCAGACAATCTTTTACTCACTCGCTCTCAGGTCAAAATTCAATTTGATTTACCAGAATTGAATTGCAATCAACCATAAATACAAATGCAATGCCAAAAACAGAGGTGGCAATAAAGTTAGATGTTTTTCCTCGACCACGTAGAAACGTGGACAAAATTTGTGTGGCAGCACAGATATCTCGACCTTGACCCATCATCAGCCATCTCACTGGTTACCTTTGAGCTCGCCACTAATGGTTGGATATCTTCCCCAACCTAACCCATTATCCCACATAAACCTCGGGAAACGATAACAGAATGCAGTCATTATGAAGCTAAAAAAAGCATCCAAATGCTGAGATAAATTAGAACTTAAATTGAACTACCTACAAAATCAACCCGCCAATTTCAACTAGTAACAGTTTTATAAAATATGAAAGGCAAGAATTACCCATTTTCCGGAAGTACAAGAAATTAGTAATGAGACGCCAGAACTGATATTGCTTAACCACCAGTCTTGGATTCAAGTACAAATGATACGGAGATATTATCTGCATAGCCATTAGAAAAAAATAACATCCATCACGTCAATTAAACTTTCCAAATTGCAAATCAACACGAACTAATCAGATCACACAACCAATTGGCCAATATCCGATCCAATTAATAATTTTAAAATTATTAAAATGTTGCAAGCCAATAAATGATTGTGTTGCCAGACTTTGAAACAACACCAACTTCAAAAGGAAACAATCAAGGCGGCGCATTTCAAGCAGTAAATTACGAACCCTTAAAGCATCGGGTAAAAATTCCAAACCCTTGTTTACGACGAATGAGAAAAGCATCAAACTAGAGAAAAGAGATAATAAAAGACGTACATCAAGAGAACAGCCGACAGTAGTGACAATAGCTGCGGTGAGATACGAACGCGTAATTAGAGGCATCTGCTTATACCATTCCTCGACTGCTTGAGCCATTCCGTTCTTCCCCTAATTTCAGCCTAGAATGATTGCGCCAACGAATATGAAAGCTTCGAGAAGCTTCTTGTGCAGAATCAGAGAGCTGCTATAAGAATCGGAAGGAGAAAATCGCCGAAGAACCAAGGGAATGGAAGCGAGCGCACCGGACGTTCAGAAGAGAGAGAGAGAGTGTGTTCTTTTCTGTTCTGGACTTTTCCTTGGGAAAAGATCTCCTGGTTCTTCGAAAAATCGAGATGACAAAAGCAAGCGAATCGAGGAGCGCGTGCAATGTCACGTACCAATCAGATTATTCTTCTTCGGTTTCTCATTTTTGGCTGGAAAATGGGCCAGTAGGTCTGGGTAGCCTCAAAATTATAAAAGCCCATCTCCGTTGTCGGGTCCAATACAAGCCCACATGTTCACAGATCCAAAAGTCTTAATGGATTGTACAAAATTCAATTACCGGTTTTGATAACACCGGAGGTTAGGTCTAGCGAAAAGAGTTAGTCTCCTATAATGTGGTGAACCAATGTTTAAATTTCCATTATAAGAGGTGCTCACATTTAATGCCTGATACTGTCTCGAATAAGATTGTCTCCAATAGTAAGATGCCTATGCTTTAGCCAAAAAAAAAAATTACCGGTTTTGACTGGAAATTATTCAAATTCAAATTAAAGACAGAAAAGAAGTATCAAAATCAATACGTCAATACTTTTAACATATAAAACGGTTTTTTTTGCCATGATAAAATGGGTTATTTATATAAACGAGAACATGTTTAATTAAAAAAAAATTAAACCATATCTAACTCAGATATTAAAAGCAGAGTAAAATGTAATATAGGTAAAAATTGATGATTCAAACTCTTATTGTATCAATCGAAAACGATGAAAAATAGTATTAAAAAAAACGATGAAAAATACATAATATACATGTCTACATGTCTAGTTTGCACTGCATGTTCATTTTTTAAAAAAAAAATTGATTATTTGTTCATTTAATTAGTCGGTCTCTACAATTTCAACGATTTAATTCTAGAAAATTTCAAAATATATAAAAATTAATTAATTAAATGGTTAAAACTTGATGGACTGAGTTTTAGTGAGTTATATTTAATGATTGAGTTACACGTATTAGAGTTAAAACTATGTGAAGTATTTTGACGGAAAAAAACTATCTGAAGTAAATAATTATTTTTTTAGTTCAAGTGGTATATAGAGATGTGAAATTCTGGCAATAAAAAAAATAGAGATATGAAATTGTTATCGGTTTTTAAAATAAAAAAAATAGAAAAAGGTTAAAACCACTGTCGTACATCGACCGCACATCTATATCACGTACTGCCTTCCTGTATTAATTATAAAAGCCAGTTGATTAATTTGAAGAAATTAAGAAAGTAAGTTGTATTAGTTATTTATCTTAAATATGTGTTGTCTTTCCTAAAATATCCTTACTAATCAAGTATATTGACTAGAACTATTATTGTTAGAAAAGCTATTTTAGAAAAAAATATATAAATATGAGAGACAAAATAAATTAGGGTTTTATATTTAAGATCAAAATAAAAATCAAACAGAGTCAAGGATAATAACAAAAGGTTCTGGTTAACGGGCTCACCAGTGACATGTACGCGTGCCTGCAGGAGATTTTTGTTTCTCCGAACACCGAGGATCAAAACCCAGATCTTCTTCGCTTCCATCGTCTCTCCTGAAAAACCCTAGTTGGGCTTATACCTCGAACTTAATCCCTATCTCCAACAATGTTTGTAGTCTGTCGACTTCGCCAAGCCTACCCCAAGCGCCATTATTCCACAATCCTATGTCCGGACTCATCCAAGCCTCTCTCCTCCATCGAGAAATCCAGAGCCGCTCTCAGTCTTATCAAGACTGAGAAGAATCCGGAACGCATCCTCGAGATTTGCCGTGCTGCTTCACTTACTCCCTTGACTCACATCGATCGCGTTACTTTCTCCCACGCTATTTCCAAGCTCTCCAAGTTTAATCACTTCGAGGGAATCCGTCAATTCCTTGAGGAGTTGAAGACGCGACCTGACCTGAGGAATGAGCGGTATGTGTCGCACGCGATTGTTCTGTATGGCCAAGCTGACATGCTTGACCATGCCATTCGTAGTTTCAAGGAAATGGATCAATTGGGCATTCGTCGGTCGGCTAAATCGCTAAATGCTCTTCTCTTCGCTGGTATTCTGGCCAAGAACTATAAGGAGGTAAGCCGAATTTATCTTGAGTTCCCTAGGATGTATGAAGTAGAGCCGAACCTTGATACCTATAATACAGTAATTAAGGCTTTCTGCGAGTCGGGTTCGTCTAGTTCTGTGTATTCCGTATTGGCCGAGATGGATAGGAAGTCTGTTAGCCCAAATGCGACTACTTTCAACACATGGATTGCGGGATTTTACAAGGAGGAGAAGTTTGAAGAGGTCGGGAAGGTGTTGGACTTGATGAAGAAGCATGGCATTAAACCGGGTCTAAACACCTATAATATTAGGATTCAGAGTCTCTGTAAATTGAAGAGGTCATCGGAGGCAAAGGCTTTGCTTAATGGAATGATATCCATGGGTAGGAAGCCGAATTCAGTTACTTACTCTCAATTGATTCATGGATTATGTAGAGACGGCCACTTCGAGGAAGCAAAGAAATTGTTTGAGGACATGAAAAAGAGAGGTTTCAAGCCGGATAGCAACTGTTATTTTACTTTGGTTTATTTCTTGTGCCAATGTGGAGATTTTGAAACTGCTTTACTGATTGCCAAAGAGAGCATGGGAAAGGATTGGATTCCTGTGTTTTCGACGATGAAAAAACTTGTGAATGGGCTGGTCAGTATTTCGAAGGTTGATGAAGCTAAAGATCTTGTCAAGCAAATCAAGGAGAAATTTACGGGAAGCAGTGATAAATGGAATGAAATTGAAGCTGCATTGCCTCAGTAATGAACATCTAGGATAGTATAAATATTTGGTTGTTCAGACGGAATCCTGGAAGATTAATTATCAGAGGAAAGTTAGCAGAAATTACTTCATGTTCCGGTCAAGGGTAAGTTCTTTCGGTCATTTCGACTGCTGAATATCAACCAATCTGCTTCTTGTGAAAGATTTATATCTGGACTGGTTAGCTGAGAAATAATCGGTCCCATCATTAGTTTCATTGTTCTCTCTGACACTTGGATTATTGCTATAAGTCCATGTTAAATGGTATTCTTCCAATTCAGTTTTGTATACTTCTCTTTGCTGATCTTATATGGTTTTCCATATTTCTGGAAATAAACGTGGATAGTTTTCTCTGAGTTTCTGTTACCTCCACAAATTGATCTCTAATTCATCGTTTAGTTTCTTGCGTAAGCGCTTGGACAATCTCTTTGATGCATGTCAAAACTTAATAGGAGGAATATATAAATGGTTAGGAATGAATGGATCCATTCTCCTTGAACGATGATAAAGGGATGTTCCTTGTACTAGCAGTGCATGTAAGGTGTTATTTATCAGTCACATTTTCAGATAAATGAAAGTCACATGCTTGAAAATGGTTGAGTTCTTGCTGGATTTTGTAGCTCAAGTTCTCTTGGGAGTATAGTTTATGAATAATAAGAGGGGAGCAATGGCTGTTTGAAACAGTCTCAGGAAAAAGGATTTGAATAACGCTGGGGCTGAGTTCTTGAACACCGAGATACTTGTTTTCATGGTTTAGGGAACATTTAATTGGGTTGATTAGCCCTTGAGGAATGATTTAATTTTTATTTTTTTTATTTGACCTTGTTCGCGGTTGGAAGACTTTCCTTTAGGAGAGTTGATTAGCCCTTTTTTAGTTCTTTTTCACTCATCAACCAGGATTTTACGACTCCTTAAATACCATGAAGAATCACTTTTTTTTAATTATATTTTAAAAGACTATTATTTCACATATTACCTGCACATCTAATCCAAATGGGGTAACATTTCGAAAAAATTTAACGTAGGTCATCTGAACTAGAGTTAATTCGGGGTTTTCTTAGAAGACAAAATGATACTGAACTAGAAAAGAATTAATTACAAGTAGAAGACACAGGACAAGCAAATTCGGGGTCCTTACTCTTTAGTAATATATCTATGGGTGGTGACACATTGTACAAGAAGGGTTAGGCATGTAATTCTAATTTACAATTTTAGGCAAAATTTTGAGAAAGATGCATTTATTAAATTTGATGGATGGAGAATGGAGCCTTGTCATTTTAAAAACCCTTACCTAATCCGAGAGCGAATTAGAACATAGCGGCATGCTCGTTGCTCGATCATGAAGTTACAGGTTAAGTGGTTTTGTAAACAAACAAGAATTATAATTTTCCAACGGAGCCGTGTGGTGAGCGCAGAGCGAAATCCTTTTTTTATTCTTATTATACGTGCTTCAATTAAAAATTGAACAGCTGACAGCAGCAAGAGAGAAAATTTCAGATTATTGGATTTAAATTTCACTCTATTAATAAACAACATTACGTCCGTCATGACCGTGTGCAGTGAAGCAGCCCAACGCACGATTTCTCGAAGTATTATACAGTGAACAATTGGTACAGACTCTATGGTCCCTAAATTTCTTTCACGTAGCTAGCTGGATGGAGCAACTAAGCTAACTTTGATGCGATAGCAGATCTTTGTGCTCCATATGCCGCAGTTGATGCTACTGTGGTTGAAGCTACTAACCAACTGCAGCAGTTAAAAAATCACAACTTCAGCATCTAGTAATACTTGCTAGGATTACAAGCACAACCAAGCCAAAATTCTGGCCTCAATAATTACCTCAGATAAGTAATGTACGATTGAGTTTCTTGGGTTCCAAACTCTGGTTGCAGAAGAGCTGCAGCAACTAATAATAACTGCAACACTGTATTAACCTGTACACATTCATAGCTAAAATCAAAACTTCAGAAATGCTCTCTATGTTGATATCCTAATTTATGCTTTATATGCAGTACCATTTTTTAGTCTTCTTACGTTTGGAACAAGGGATGGGGGTAGGTATTTAAACTAGTAATTCAACCCAAGACAACCACAGACTTGTAACAATAATGACAGACAAGGATTTTCTCTGCACCCATTGAGGGACAAGTTTGGCTTGTAATGGTTCCAGTTATCTATTACACCATGGGTTCAGATGCATTGCCGACAATGTTGCATTTTATGGGTATGCTAATATGTATGCATCAGTCACCAAATCACGTACTGATACCAAGCTCCGATAGTCAATCTACCTAATATCTGGATCTGGCAGGGAATCCAGTTTGATAAGCAGGTGATGACGACTAGTATTATATAATCTTCTCCCTACCTAACGTCCAAAGATACTGTACAATAAACTAAAACATCCAAAATGCTTACCTTGCTAATAAAGAGTGGCTCAACCTTTTGACGACCAGTCCCATCAAGGTTAAAGAAATCAAACCAGCTTTTCCACTGAGAGAAGCAGAACATAAATAAGCTTTCCATGAGAAAATTATACAGTACACAATCTCTCAAGGTAAATGGAAAACTTGAGAACCACGCTGTTCTTACCTTCCAACCCAAGCTGCTCCCTCTTAAATATATTGCCCCCCCAACAAGCAAGACATCTCGGAACACAAGTAGTCCAACAAGTCCAGCTTCAAGTGTAAAAACCAAAAAGCATAGTTCAACAATATATCAAGGGATACAGAGTAATGCGTTTTTCTCATAGCTCAACAGATGAAAAATATAACAATCACTTCAATGAAAACCAAAAACACCCATCGTGCCCTTCCAGTTGCCAAAACCATTAAGCCAAAGCAACATATAATTAATAGAAAATATAATCTAGTACAACGCCTTGCCAGTGCAGAACATTGAAAAATCTCAAGTTAAAATCAAATAAAATGATGAATTAGCTGAGATAATATAGAACTTTCATTATTTAAAATTTAAAATACAACAACTGAACTATCTGCAATGTGCTTATTTGTAGCTAAGCAGGCTGGATGACTTTTTACAGTGAAATATAGACAAACTATGCGTCACTACCAGAGAGACATTTCAATTTTTTTCAATTGTTTACAAGGTTGTCGTCTCAGTTTGCAATCATGGCCCAATACTATACTATAAACACGTAAGCAGTCAACGTGTTAAGCTGAATAATCCCTTTTTAAAAAAAAAAAAACAGAAGGAAATTTGACAGAAGCTAAAAACAACTTACGATGCAATAGATCTTGATGCACCATTGCAATCGCAACACAACCAATTAGTACCTGCACCATATATTGAAGATAAATAATCATCACGGAAAATAGAGCCCGTAGCTTGGTTCGATCATCCAAAAAATTAGTAACGTCAGATGTGAAATGCCACTGCACTCGGAAGGAGAGAATATATTTTGTACCTTGTCCGCAAGAGGATCGAGATAGGAACCCACCACAGAATCTATTTTCATCTTCCTAGCCAGATATCCATCCAGCTGGAATGTATGAGAAGAGAAAGACGTTTAGTACGTAATTTCTATTCTATAGGGAGTGGGTTGCTTCAATACCAATAAAAATTTTTAGAAAAAGTTTATTTTTTATACCCAATCAGTTGCTCCAGAGATGGCTAATCCAATCATCGATGAAGCATAAAACTCGTTTGTGATCATCCTGCACAAAATTACCACAGAAACTAGAGCATCATTAAACAAGCAATAAACAGTAAACAAAAGTTCGGCAAATCCTACTGATGCAATTAGGGCCTCTTTTTGTCATAACTTATTCGTAAACAAAATAAGTATCAACATTTCATTACCGAAGGCTTAGTGAATCTGCTTAGTATCAACATTTCATTTCACTAATGAACACAAGAAAAAGCAAATTTTCAATAAAGCCTACAAGAGACAAAAGCAATCACCAAAGCTTCTGTCATCTGCTGACAGTCAATTCAGTCGTCTCCCTGTGAAGTATTAGTGAATCTTCTACATTAATGAGCTCAGGGTTACGTTTATTCCTATATCTTTGAGTACAAGAAAGTATCACCATCCCCCCCCCAAAAAAAAAATAATTTCACATTTCTATCAACCAGAAACCGGACTTCAGAGTGTAACAAATCGCAAGAAATGAAAAGAAAACACAAAAGAATCGTACTACCCTTTCACCAAAGAGGGGAAAGGGCGGGGGCTGAACGTACCATCCGAGAACGGGACCAGAAATCAATCGACTGAAGGAGATCAAGTTTGGCGCATTGACGAAACTGTCCACAAGGCCGTGCTCACAAGACTCCTTCGAATTGGAATCAATCCGATCCAACAATCTGAGAGGAAAACGGGTTCTAGACCGAAGTAAATTCAGATTCAAATTCAACGCTTCAACCCTTCGTCGAACGAAGCCATTTCCTTGCAGGTACAGAGGAGTGGCGGACTGAGAGAGCTTCCAAGGTGGGCAAGCGAGGAAGAGAGGACCTTGCTGAAATGGGACAATCCATTTGGAGAGATGAGGAAATAATATGTGAGGACCATTATTGGAAGGCAATCGGAATAGTGGGTGAGAAGGAGAAGCACACCGCGAGAATGAGGAAGCGGTTGTGGTCGATAACGTCAGAAAAGATCGACTTTTGGTGTTAGTGTTATTAGTTATAAGCTTAAGGGACCTGAAGAGTACCATCGTCGAGGCATTCTTGGAAATGCAACACAGAAATTGGCAGCTCCGATTCTCCGAAGAGCGAAGGCTCTTCTTGTACGTGAAATTAGGTTTTGAAGGGGTTTAGACTTTTGGGAAGCAGGAGGACGACACGTGTGATGTTGTCGTTTGCCCAAGTGGGCGAGGCGGCTTCGGGCTGGTGTCGTCGGTCACAGCGACCCGGGTTTCGCGCTGAGAGTTTATCAAACGCATTGTTGTCAGCGGGATCATCTAAATACACTCATTTGCTTTTTTGTTTTTTCCTTCCCAACGAAAATACACTCATTTTTTGAAAGATTAAAAGTAAAATGGAGATTTTTACTTTCCTTTGGGTCAAAGGATTAAAATGGAGACTAAGGGCCTGTTTGGATGCATAATTAAGAGTCTTTTTAAAAATAATTTATAAGTAATTTTTTAATTGTGATTTACAGAATATAAAATTAGTATGTAAGAATGATTTTGTTTTGACTTATATAAAACATATTTATGAGTGATTTTAGGCCCTATTTGGCAGCACGATATAAATAACTTATAAACACATTTTACGTAAGCTAAGACAAAATTCTCTTTACATATTTACCTCGTACTTCGTAAATTACGATTAAAAAGTTACTTATAAGTCATTTCAAATGTGTCCTAAAACCTTTTCGTAGAAAGTATTCCCCTTTGATAGGGTGGAGATTATTGAAGAGTCAAGACCAGATTCATATATTTTTAATCTATGACGCAGGAATGCATGGAGTATAATAAATTATTGACAAAAAAAGATTGCATGATGTGATGTGGATATTGAATCAACGTGCACTAGAATGCTTACAAAATAAACTACGCGCGAGGAATAATATATTGATGGGGGTTAAAACTTAAGATCTAGTTTAAAAAATAGCTAGAAAAACAGTGATTTTGATTTAATGATTACTTTACTCCAAACAATCCAACCTTTATCCACATATCTTATTATCTATAATCTATAATTAATTAATAGAATAACTGGACATAACTATATTTTCTTGCTTTGTAATTTGGGGGGGCACAACTAAATTAACTAACAACCTTGCTCTCCTGTATATTAACATCTCATAAGCATCAAATTAAACATGAAACAACCCAACAACTAAAAATTGGGATCCATTTTTGGCAACCAACGAATTAAACACAGATGTCAAACCCAATTTTGAGTCGAATAAAATCTAACCCTAGCCCTAACATGACCTTATTACAGCAGATTTTCATGATCTCCAAACCTATTAACATATATATCAGCAGATATCTTAATCACCATCCTGTGGTTGCCTGATTTGATACATATATAGCTTTTAATCAAGAGGGCTTGTGCGTAGCACCAAAGAGAGCAAGAATTTAGGGTTTCAACAGGGTGAGACACCAGAAGAGAACAAAGAAAATGGATTGTTTCCCATGCTGCAATAAGCAAGTTGAAACGGTTCCTTTGAGCAAAAGCCAAATGGACTATGCACCGTCCAGGAAATCCACGTTGAAATCTTTTTTAGGGGCTCTCTCTTCCAAAACAGGTACAAAAAAATTACTCGGTCGTTTTTAATTGCCTACAAATTTCTATGCAGAAGACACGATAACATTACTTACGTCCGTGAAGTTCTTTATCGTCCTGAAAATTGTTTAATAAAAGATTTGATCAAGTAATACGAGATTAAAAATGTGCAACTTATCAAAGTTTTGTATCGCTGCCCTCACAGAATAGCAGGTTATGGCCTTTGATTAATTAAATTTGAATCATATATGCTCTGCAATATTTGGATTCGCCCAGCTAATTTTAAAGATGTTCAAACTCCTATCCCCAGTATATTAGAGAATAGAAAAGGAAAAACAAGAGGAATGATTGAAGTAAACTTGTACAAATGGAAAATATTTGATGATATTTGGAGATATATATATATATAACTAAATATAAATCATGCAATGCCTGAAATGCAGGTAGCAGCAGGCAAAGACACATTACAGCTGAGATACGAAAATATGGAACAGCCAAGAACAATGCCCGAGTCTTCACAGTTCAAGAACTCGCCTCTGCAACTGACAACTTCAGTTCTGACTGTTTGATCGGTGAAGGTGGTTTTGGCAATGTCTACAAAGGATATATACAAAGCATTAATCAAGTCTCTCTCTCTCTCTCTCTCTAACACTTAAATATATATGTCAACAAGACTGACCATGATTCTTACTATTTGCACTATAATACTACCGGTCCTTGATATAAAAGCTTGTTTGACTTTTATTTTGGTTCTAAATATAAGATCCTAATCCATTTTGTCTCTCATATTTATCAATTTTTTTCAAAATAATTATTGTAATAATGGTAGTTGTAGCCAATACACTTGATTAGTAAGGATATGTTAAGAAAAACAATACCTATTTATTATAACTTAACTAGCTTTTGTAATCTATTTAAATTAGTCAACTAACTCTTATATTAGAGATCGGGGTTAATATATACAGTTCTAATAACCAGACATATGCACGCATATTATAGTTTGACAAGCAAAGTTGTACAGTGGGTTTACGTGAATGTTGGAATTTTTACAGGCTGTGGCCGTGAAGCGACTGGACAGGAATAAATTGCAAGGAAGTAGAGAATTCTTTTCAGAAGTTGTAACGTTGAGTTTGGTGAAGCACCCAAACCTCGTCAAGCTCATAGGTTATTGTGTTGAAGGAGATCAACGGATGTTAGTTTATGAATTGATGTCCAAGGGCAGCCTCGAAAGCCACCTTCTAGGTAACATATATACATATAACTACGATACCCAGAAAAAAGTCGTCTTCATTAACAACACACACATTATTAACTGATGGCATACATATTGGTCAGATTTAGGACCAGATAAGGAGGGACTGGATTGGGCAACGAGAATGAAAATAGCAGAAGGAGCAGCGAGAGGATTGGAGTATCTGCATGAAGAAGCAGATCCACCGATAATATACAGAGACTTGAAGGCATCGAACATATTGTTGGATGAGAACTTCAATGCGAAGCTGTCAGATTTTGGGCTGGCAAAGATGGGACCAACAGAAGAAGGGAAGGATCACGTGTCGACGAGGGTGATGGGAACATTTGGGTATTGTTCTCCAGAGTATGCTTTGACGGGGCGTGTCACTACAAAGTCAGATGTTTATAGTTTTGGAGTAGTGTTAATGGAGATCATCACTGGAAGAAGAGTGTATGACACTGCTAGAGCAGAAGAAGAGCAAAACCTTATTGACTGGGTATGAATCTAATCTTGCAACATCTTTTGAACTGAACTAAATTCATGTTAAGGGAAATAGATATCACTTTGGTGGGAACTATATATATACATATAGGAACTGATTTTATTATTATCATGTATCTATCTCTCTCCTTACTTCACATGAAGTTGTTTTAGAAAGTACAGTTAATTTTATGAACAATCAACTAATTGATCTAATATTAAGGTGAGATTGAATGGAATTGAATTACCTAGGTATTATTAGATTTTGTTGATGAAAGTGACTAAACAGGTATGAAAGATAATGTTCTCAAAAATACAAAAATCCATACATAGCTGGACATTTATAAGTAGTTCTTGTCATTTGCTTAATTTTGAATTTTTTATTATATTCTTCCAGAGGGAGAAACATTGGGCAGTCTACTTTTTTTTTTTTTAAAAAAAAAAAACCTGTCTTGTAATATTCTGAGATCCAAATTATTGTGTTATTCAATTTAAAAAGTATATAAAGTCTTACATCGTTTCACTTTTATCTGTTTGAGCATGATGATTTAATTCTAAAGCTGTTGCCTCACATGCCTATCCATCATATAATGTCTTACATAACACCAGACCAATCACCCACATTAAATGAAAATCAACATCCAAAAACATCACTGTGCAAAGAAATCAATGTACTACTTTTCATCAATCATGAATAGTACAACTAATTTCTCAAACTCTATGCAATACGCGGGACCCACTCGTAGTTATTGTGAAATTTTGACAAAGGAGAAATTTGAGGCTGTAAACATAGGGTTAATGTTGCAGGCACAGCCACTGCTAGAGGACAGAGAGAAGTTCACATTAATGGCAGATCCATTGCTGAAAGGTAACTTCCCAGTGAAGGGACTGTTTAAAGCACTTGCAGTGGCAGCCATGTGTCTGCAGGAAGAAGCAGACACAAGACCATTGATGAGTGATGTAGTAACAGCGCTTCAGCACATAACACTCCCAGTAAATGGTGAAGAAGATGAACTTAACAAAGGAGAATCTGTAAAAGTTGCAGGCCATGTTGAATCATTTAGGGTTGGAAGCTCACGTGTAGACAGTCAACAATATCAAACAAGGGTTGGAAGTTCAAGCGTAGGCCGTCAACAACATCACAGAGTGGGAAGTTCAAGTATAGGCCATCAAAACCATCACAGGGCTGGAAGTTCAAGTGCAGGCCATCAAAACCATCACAGGGTTGGAAGTTCAAGTGTGGGCCATCAACAACATCACAGGGTTGGGAGTTCAAGTGTAGATCAACAAAATCAACAATTGTAGCAACATCATTCAACATGGGGGATTCAAAAAGGAAAAAAAATTGATGCACACTGAATTAAAAAAAGAATGTGTTGCAGAGATCAGCGTGCTTAGTTGTATCGTAGTTTTTCTGTTTATACAATATCTAATAAATTAGTCTTTTGTTGATGATCAGTGGGTTCAAATTATTTAGGTTTGTTTCCGTACTTCTCTTGTTTTGATTAACGCCATGTCCTAAAGAAACTTGGAGCAAATCCTTCTGATGTGTACGATCTAAAGAATAGAGAACAAGAGAAGAGTAACGAAAGCCAAATTGATATGTAAAATCCTCAGTCTTGTTGGCAACAATATCCACAACAGTCTCCAACACTGGTTTTAGATTAAAACCACGAGAAAATTACAGGGGAAAATACCAACTACCTTTGCTTAATTACTGTCACAGATATCTTGTGAGTTTCATTAGATACCAAAGAGAGATATGATATCAATATCATCATGTCATATAACACAATCCTTGCAGTCTCCGAAGTTGTTGATATCAGTACTGAGGATCCTGTAGCTGAATCCTGGGATTCTGTCTAGATGATGGGTCTCTGCTACTTCTGAAACAGAACAGATCTTTGGGAGGAACCCACTAGAGAACTTTCGCTTCTTCCTCTTCCAGGTCATTAGCGACACCCAGAAACTGGGTCTGCAGCTAGAAAATCCTCTTGCAGAAACCTGGTCCACAGCTTGTGCACGAGGTTGTTGTCTTTGGAACAACAACCTCGTCTCTCTAACTCGAACATGGTGAAGTATTCAATTTCCTTCCTCACCAGAGATCCTACAGTGCCCCTGGTACCTATCGCCGCGGGAGGAGGAGTCCCCATTTAAGCATCTCTGAATTTTGTTTGCCTATGGCTCTGCTTTTATAGCGCATCATCGTTTTTTGTTCTTTGCTTTTGTTAAATAGTATTCTGGTTTGTTGTTTTTTTAGGATTTTGGGAATATGTTTTTGTGATTGTCCATAAAAGAAGGTTATAGACCAAAAAAAAAAACGTTCTGTGATGATGGGCCCAATTTGGAGCATCACGCCCAGCTCATCTTTTAATATTATTAAGGAAAGCATGAAATTTCCAATCATGATTGGAATTTTTTTAAAAAAGTAAAAGGAAAAAGAGAAGGAAAGAAAAAGCGACATGATCATGAAATTCCTCCTGGTTTCTGCAATGAATGAAACCTCATTCACTTTATGCGCCCTTTTGACTTCTCAGGTCATATATTGCTTATTTTGCACACAAGTCGTTTGATTGATCCTAGATTCACATTTCACAGTACACAATCACCAAACTTCATTTAAAATAAAATTGCATTCACAAGTTTGTTATCAAAATTTATAATAAAGACAAACAACTATGTATTAATGTTAAAAAAGCATTTTAAATAACATGCATTATGTGTATTCATTAAACAACTAGGCTAACAAGTTCAATAAAAGGCTCAAGTACGTTTTTAGTCCTTTAACTTCACACAAGATTTTACTTTGGTCATTTAATCTTAAAAAGTAAACCTTTAGTCCTCTAACCCTAAAAGTGCTAACAAAAAATGATAATATTGAGCTCCTGAATGCTGATAGAATATTATTAAATGCTAACATATTAAATTTAATATTCAAAATAACTATAATTGTTGCAAAAAATCATCATTTACGACTAACAATTTTAGGGTTAAAGAACTAAAAATATATTTTTTAAAGTTAAGAGACTAAACTGAAACTTTACATAAAATTAAACGACCAAATGTAAACTTTAGCCTTCAGTGAAAATAAATCAGCGTGCACTTATCAATAAAATGGAAAAATTTTTAAATGTTTGGAAGCGCTGAGTTTTGTGTCTGGTGATGTAATGTGTGTTGGGGTCAAAATTAAATGTCCACCTTTCATGCCTGATGCCGTGGATAAAAGGAAGAGGGAAGAGATGAGGTCGGTGCTTTTAAGGCATGGGGTCCCTTGTGTTCCTCTCCTGTTCATATGTCTACCGTCATTATTTTAATTTAAAAATGATCCTTCTCCGGTTCTTATTATAAGACCCAATTTGACTTTTTATTTGGTCCTAATTATAAGACTCAATCCATTTTGTCTCTTATATTTATGCATTTTTTTCCAAGATAATCCTTCTAATAATGATAGTTTTAGCCAATATACTTAATTAGCAAGGATATTTTAGGAATAACAACACTTATTTATTATAAATAACCAACTTAACTTGCTTCCTTAATCTCCTCAAATAAGTCAATTGGGTCTTATAATTAGGACCGGAGGAGTATTTGAAAGAGGACATGATGCATTATTTTTCATGAAGGCCAACTTTTTGCACGTTCATTCATCCTTAGTCACTGAAATGATGTTGAGAATTGGAAGTAATTGAATAGGAAACTCCCATTATTGAAGTCAGGGAATTCAATAGTTAGGAGATTCAAATAAGTTACCATGTCGGATGATTTTGAAAATCTCAGCTTCCCCCAGCAATGTACTGATCCTAAAATTATATAAATAAATGGATCTTGTAACTCCTAATTTTTGTCAGAACCTTATAATTCAACAATACCAAACACTTCTTTTAAGACTTTCTTAAGCGTGGAATTGTAAGTTTAAATTCTCCATTAAAAAAATACAAGTGTGTAGATTGTGACAATATATATAAGTATAAATACAAACACGAAAAGAGGTATAGATAATCCAAACAGAGTCACAAGATGGTATGGCATGTGAAAACTGAACTTTGCTGGGAACATGAATTGCCCAAATTCACTGTCTATAGCACAGAATCTCAAAACAAGAGGTTTTAATTTGTGAAGTCACAGGGCACATGTGCTTTTGGTTGCCAACGATTGAAAGATGCTGATCAACTCTTTTTCCACATAACCTTTGTCAGTATCAAAAGGGAAAAGCTTTGATTTTATTTACTCTATAATATGCTGTCAAGATAGAGCCTAATAGACTATCATACCCCAACCAATTTCATCGGCATTGTGGAACTGGTATGCCTTAAATCAGGCTAGACTTCGAAGTCCAGCTACTCCAAAAACCTTTGAAGAATTCAGCTTTGCAAGACCATAACAGAAGGATAAAGGCTTCGGGTGTGTTTGGAATTGGAGACTTCTAAACTGACTTCTCTATTAGAAAAAGTTAAAAAAAAAATGACTTGAAATACATGTTTGGATAGGTTATAGAAATAAATAGGCTTATGCTCTAAAAGTTTTTTTTTCAAAATTAAAAATTAATAAAATCTTTTTTTTTTGCTGAGTAATGAAATCATTTTTTAAAAATATTATATTTGTATTATATTTTTATCCATTAAATATTTTTAAATTTTTAAATTTTTTAATAATAAATTAATTCTTTATTTCCAATAATTTTATTTTTAATATTTCTTTTACAATTGTCACATTATATACATTTAATATTACATATGTATTACTTAATAAAATTTATGTTGTTTTTACTCATTTTACATCTAAATTGATTATTTTTAATTAATCATCCAAACAAATTTTGGTTTCCCAAAGTAACTTTTTTATAAAATCAATCCAAATATAAGTCACATTACACTATTTGACTTTTATCCAATCTCATTTTTATAAAAATCAGATTAAAAAAATACTTTTATCGTTACTAATCCGAACGCACCCTTCATGTGGTGGTGTTATTGGGAATGAACAGGAAATTTGCATTAAACGATTTACCACTGAGCTTGTGAATATCATTTGCAGAATTGAGAGGTGTGGGCTCGCGATAGAATGAGGCTGATGATCATTAGCGATTCTGCTCAGGCAATTAATTTAGTGTTTGTTTAGAACTACTTATATTAAATGCTTATAAAGATGTTTACATAAAGTCGAGACTTCACAAACTTGTACCCATAAATCACGAATAAAGAACTGATTTTCCAAACAAGATAATGGAGCAGTGCTTCCCTGGGAAACCACGATCAATGAAATTACGTAACTTTTAGCTTTGGACTGAAACTATGACTATTTTTTTTTCCCCCCCGTATACATCATCTTCCATCCAACAGTATACTTTTCACATGTTACTTGGTAGGAGAAAAAAATTCACGAGTTACAAACTTGACCTCAGTATAACTGCGGAAACAAATAGACTACTCAATTTCTATATCATAAATCAATGAAGATACATATATTAGTCCGCCTCAAAATTGGATATCCACAGTAACTCTCTCAACATAAACATGTTCCCTCTCTTTCTGTTTATAGCACTCTCGTCCTCTGTCTTTTGTTTTTGTTTTTGGGTTTCCGAATTTATATGTATAAATGTAAGGAGGAAGTAAACAAATTATTGAATGGTGGGGAGATGGCACACATACCCCAATCTTCGATGTGAGGCAAGAGCATGTTGCAGAGCAACATTGACGTTAGCTCCATCCCGGTACAAGGAATCATACAACTGACGCACAAATTGTGACAGTTCTTCCTCATCATCCTCCCAGAAGCACAAATTGCGGTCCAAGTTTTTCTCGTTGTCGATGTCCTCCCAATCACTTAAAGGACTTGCGGGTTCGTTCTCATCTTCTGCATCATCCTCTCCGATTTCAAACTTGCCATTTTCCAACACATTCACCTCCCAACCAGCACCATCAAGGGACGTAATCTGAGGCTCCTTGGGTTCACTTGACGGACATATAACAGCTTTGGCACCATTGTCCAGAAAGGCCTTAATAAGAGCCCGAGTAGGTCCAAGCGTCCCCGTGCATATTATGATCCTGTCTCTCCATGCTCCAACCTTGGTTAATCAAGAACATCAATACAATAACAGAGATGAGACCAAATTATCCATTGATATGATATGATTAAATATGATGCGGAAAATGCAGTTCTACAGTGAAATCATACTTCACGAGATCTTTCATGAATTAACAGTAATATTATTGCTCTTCTTCAGACGAAACATCATTATTCGCTCTTTTTTTGATGTAAAAGTTAGCAGTTTCTCCCCGCATTTCCGGTGCAGTATCCAATGAAAAAAAGGGTTGAATAGGAAATCAACACGCCATAGTTGTTACGGTAATTTCAATTGGTGGGGCACAGTGGAATTGTAATTAAATTAGAGGAATTGTTCAAATTCTGCAAGTCGTTTAAAAAAAAAAGAAATCCTTGGAACGTATCTGGTCTTTGTAAAGTGTTGTCTCCTATATCTACACCAACATAAGGTGTGCTGGCAATTCAAATAACCCCACAAGAAAGAGTGAAGTTGGCAAAGCCATATCAAGCCATAAATAAGAGGGCCTGGTGCAATACAATGCAATAATTATTGGCGGTTATTTATCCAGTACTTAATGCAGTGAATTGAAGTAACTCCTGTAGAATACAGCCACTAATCTCATACCTCATTCAAAACATGATTAAAGAAAATGGATGGCAGCAAATAAGACGGCAATGTCTAATAGTTTGGGTGAAGCTCCGGAAAATTCAGAGAGGGAAAGATTGCAAATCAAATCAAATGGAAGCAAAGCACCTACCATCAATCGAACATCATCAGGTGTTACATGCACAGAGGGGACAGTCCTACGGAACATGTACGATGCAATTTCTTCGTCATCTTCCATAACCTACAAAAGGATTTGGATCAATTTCATCTAAGATTATTTATTCAAATAAAAAAAAACATGTAAATATTAAGGGGAAGAAGGCATACTATGGTTTGACGGCCTAAATAACGATGGACAATGCCTCCGATTTGGAAATAAGGCTTGAAAGCAACTAAATCGGAAACAGTAGAGATATTGGCAAGGAGAGATGCACCCTTTCTGCGATGGCTCCTCATTGTTGACAATAAACTGACTTTTACACTCTGGAGAAATTTCTCAGCCAGCTCTCCAGGTTCAGCCACCACAAATA